AGAAAGCCTCATCTTTCTCCCGCGGAGCGGCTGGTAGTTTCGAACCGCTGACCTTAAGGTTCGCAGCCCGATTCGTAACCACTACGCTACAGAAGGTAAGTCAAAAGTATTACTATAAAATCACAGAAACCTTTATTAAGGAAAACTTTCAAAATGTGAAGCTATTATTTCTCAACAGATCCTCTATCTAGATCTCTATACTTCTGAAGGTGGTGTTTCCATGCGCTTACCCTTCCCCCCCAAATCCTGAACTCTTCCATTTGTTATCTCTCTCTCTTTTTTAAATTAACCTTTTGTTGTGAATTTGTTGTGAATGAATGTTTACAGAGCAATCATTAGTTAGATATTCAACAAATACTTTTTCATTACAATGGTTGCAATCACCTCCATGTATCAACACTTAAGAGTATCTACCTCTATTCACATTAATGATTGTATTCCTTCCCCCCCCCACTACTTTCATCTTTCCTCTGCTAAGCTCCCTCTTGTTGTATACTGTCTGCCTCATCACCCATGATAAAATGTGTCTAGAAAGATGAGGCTTTCTGCTCCCGTAAAGATTTACAGCCTCGGAAACCCTGTACAGGGTCGCTATGAGTCGGTTCTGACTCCACGGCACATAAACACCACCACCACCCTCTAGTCTATGGATAATTTTCCTTCCCCTTCTCTCTATGTGCCAGGAATGACCAATTGGAAAGGATTGGCATCAAATTCATCATCAAAAAGAACATTTCAAGACCTGTTTTGAAGTATAATGCTATCTGTGATTGGATAATGTCCATACACCTACAAGGAAGACCAGTTAAGACCGCTGTTATTCAGATTTATGTGCCAACCACTGAAGTCAATGATGATGAAATTGAAAAATCCCACCAACGTCTTCAATCTGAAATTTATTGAAAATGCAAATTAAGATGAGTGGTGATGATATTTTGGCTGATGATACAGAACTTTTCCATTGCCTCTTCCCACAGATGTAATCACTTGGATTTCTGTGTATGCCATCTGGTAGGGTTCATGTGTGTAGTCTTTAATGTTGTTTAAAGAAGGTGTTTCTAACGAATAAGTCACTGGTCTTGCACAATTTTATCATGCGATCTCCAGCATAGTTTTTATCACCAAGTCCATATTTTGCAACTACTGATCACTATTAAAATAACAAAATTCTCTTTAAATGTTCATTGAAAAAATTAATTTTATTCTTTCTGCAATATACTTTTAAAAACAAAGGTTCAATAAAATTAATTCCCTGTTGGACCGTTAACTGCAAGGTCAGAAGTTAAAATCCACCAGCCACTCGGTAGAAGAAAAATGAGACTTTCTGCTCCTGTAAAGATTTACAGCCTCAGAAATTCTATGCAGGGTCATTATGAGTTGAAACTGACTTAACAGCACACAAAAACAAAAGCAAAATGTAAAATCTATAGAATATGCTACCAAAAAATTTATAAAAACACTGTCATCTACTTAGTACCAACTCATGTTGTTCATAAATGCTTTGGGTTGGTTCTGACTCATAGCAACCATGCATAAAGTTTCTGAGGCTGTAAATCTTTGTGGGAGCAGAAAGCCTCATCTTTCTCCTGCAGAGTGGCTGGTGGGCTCGAACCATCAATCTTGCAGTTAGCAGTCCAATGCTGATCCCACAGAGAGGAAAAAATAAACCAACCAAAAATTTAACCAAGTTTACTCAATTTGATAGTCTTATTTCTTTGGTTTTGTTAGAAATGAATTCCGATGTCACATAAAAGACACTCGGTGAGGCTAAATTATCTTGGCAAAGCAAAATTTACTCCTGCAAGAGGGTGTGTGCATATAGCCATACATACAGGAAGAGGCCACTGAGTGGGCAGTCCATTTGGGTTTTTAATCCCTAACGTGAGTCTTAAGGCTGTGTCTCACCCCATTGGCTAGGGCTTTGACCACACAATCTTTTCCCTTACCCAGTTGGCTAGTTCAAATTTCTAAGGCGCACATTCCTATTTTAGGAAAGGAAAAAGAAAGATCATAAAGTCTTTACTCACTTCAGGAAGTAGTCAAAGAAAAAGAGAGCGATCATAAAGTCTTTACTTCAGAAAATAAAGAAAAGAAGAAAGGTTACCCAAATACAAGAAACAGGATTATAATAAATATGTATATTTTTCCCACAGTTTACTATTTATTACTTTTACCTGTTAAATAAAAGTGATTTTTATTTGCTTGTTTTTAAAACATTGCATTGCAGTTAATTACTAAATATGGGCCTCCATTCTGTGATGCATTGTAAATCCTAGCTTCAGTGCCTGTGCTTATGGTCCCATTTTGGAGCAAGTTGTTTGTTATGGTAATAAGGCAGGATTCAAGTGGGATGTGTCTTGAGTCGCACCTTATTAGAAGGTGTGACTCAGATTACCATCTTTAGTTTCCTTAGGGGTGTGCTCTGCAAATTAACCTTCATCTTTCATATTTGTGTTAAAACAAGAACTAACTACCTGTTTTAAGCTGTTCCCTTGTTAGCAAATGGCCAGCTTTCTGCTTAATTAAGAAAAGCAGGAGGCTGGGGTTGCAGAATTGGCTGGAACCCGATCTGGCCCGCCTAACATGCTCACTAATAACCACATGTACTCAGCCAGACCTTCTGATGTCATGAGGCAGAAAAGTAATGCCCTGGACATGGGTAAACGCTACCTTTGTGGCCCCCCTTTCTGACTGGTTCTTGTGCTGTCATCCTGATGAGAATCAGATGCCATTTATCCACTGCCATCAAGTTGACTCCAACTAACAGCAACCCTACAGAAGGTTTCTGAGACTGTCGGTCTTGATGGAAGCAGAGACTGCCTCATCTTTCTCCTGTGGATCTGCTGGTGGGTTTGAACTGCCAGCCTTATGGTTAGCAGCCCAATGCTGATCCCACAGCACCCCCTGAGCTCCTTAATCAGATTCCAGTTACCACCCTAAAAGACCCTTGGCCCAGGACTTAGGGAGCCATCTTTGTAACACGAGTTCCAGCACGCCCCTTCTTCTTTCACTTTTGGATTTGTAGCTGCACTGAGCAGCGTTGGCAGAACTCACTCTCTTGATCTGGATCCTGCCTGCATCTGGTTTGCCTCCATCTGACCTCAGTCTTGAGACTTAAGCCAGTGGCCTATCGCCTGACCTGATGCACAAGCTTCTGTAGTCATGTGGGTCAGCAGCCTGATTTAGTGTGAGTGAGGAGAATCCTCCAGACTGATATCTTAACTGCAGAGTTGGGACTTGCCAGTCTCCACAACCACGTGAGTCATTTCTTTAACAGTTAGTGAATTCTGTGAAACATTGCAGTAAACTTCAGAACCTTGGAATGAAAGTGAGAAGACTGAGGGGAGGAGTGATTATGAAGTGTTAAAGCATTTTAGAAAAGTCTGACATCTGAGCCATCTTTAACCTCCAGCTCAAAGAGACCAGGCTTGTGATGATCCTTCTAAAAGAAATTATTTTTATGAATATAAGCTCCCTAAGAGGCAATGGAGCTCTGGTAGCATAGTGGTTACAAGTTGGGCTACAAACCCTAAGGTCAGTCCCTCCATGGGAGAAAGATGAGGCTTTCTGCTCCCATAAAGATTTATAGCCTCAGAAACCCCGTTACAGGGTCGCTATGGGTCGGAACCGACTTGACAGTACTTAACAACAACAATAGGCAACGGAGTCCTGGTGTGGTGCTGCAAGTTAATGCTCTGGACTGCAAAGTTGGTTTGAGCCGCAAGGTCGGTGGTTCAAGCTGACCAGCTGCTTCTCAGAAACCCTATACAGGGTTGCTATGGGTCGGAAATCACTCGACAGCACTTAACAACAACAACAACAAAGAGGTAACAACTCTGTATTCTAAGTTTATGCTTACTTTTATGACCTCGATTAGAAAACCAAGCCACCTGGTTTTAGAATAAGCTAAAGGATACCTTTTAAGATCTTTAGTTAAATAACTCAAGTATTGTTTTCTGTGCTACCCAGAGAAGGGTTCATAAGACATTGTCCTGGGTTTCCACTGTTACTTGAAGAGGGGACTTTCACAATGTTCAGAACCCTTGATGTCCTGCAGATGGAAAAAGAGGATGTCCTCAAATTCCTTGCAGCAGGAATCCACTTAGGTGGCACCAACCTTAACTTCCAAATGGAATAGCATATCTACAAAAGGAAAAGTGATGGCATCTGCATCAGAAACCAGAAGAGGACCTGGGAGAAGCTTCTGTTGGTAGCTCAGGCTATTGTTGCCATGGAAACCCCAGCTGATGTCAGTGTCCTATCCTCCAGGAATACTGGTCATCAAGCTGTGTTGAAGTTTGCTGCTGACACTGGAGCCACTTCCGGTAGCCTCAGCTTTTGGTGGTTACTGATCCTAAGGGTTCACCACCAACCTCTCACAGAAGCATCTTATGTTAACTTGCCCACTATTGCCTTGTGCACACAGATTCTTCTCGGTGCCATTCCATGTAACTGCAAGGAAGCTCACTCAGTGGGTCTCATGTGGTGGATGCTAGCCCAGGAAGTTCTGTGCATGGGTGACATCATCCCCCAGGAGCACCTGTGGGAGGTCATGCCTGATCTCTATTTCTACATAGAACCAAAAGAGACTGAAAAGGAAGAGCCATCTGTTGAAAAGGCCATGACTGTGGAAGGATCTCAGGATGAATGGATTGCTCCATTTCCTGAATTCACTGCTGCTCAGCTTGAGGTCACAGACTGGTCTGAAGGCAGGCAGGTGCCCTCTATGCCCATTCAGCAGTTCCCTACTGAAGACTGGAGTGCCCAGCCTGTAACTGAAGACTGGTCCACTGCCCCCACTGCTGAGACCACTGAGTGGGTAGGAATAACCAGAGTGCTCTTAAGCTGTTCTTCTACAGTCTCTTAGAAAACAGAAATAAGTTTGACATAAAATAAACATCAATTACAAAAAAATCAATAAATAATAGCTCAAGTATTATTTCTTACTCACTTGTAATAGCTCCTGACATCTAAAAACTTCATAAAAAGCCACAGGAGAATTGTTTTGTTTTATAAAATAATAATAATATAAAAAGGTTTTATGTGTTAGATTATGAATTACAGAGGGAGGACATATTCCCAAGTCAAGAAGAGTGCCAAATTTTTCTTTAACTTACCTTCATATATCAATAATGTTCATCTAAAATTAGACAACCAGCACATAATAATATTTTATAATTTCATTATATAAGTTAGTAACTTGAATTCAACCTTATTTTTTTCTAAATTTAGCATCATCAACATCAATCATTTTAACTGAAGAATATATATTGTTTACCCATAGAGTCATTATTGAGCCCTGGTAGTATAGTACATTAAGTACTGGGCTGCAAGATCAGTGGTTCATACCCACCAGACACTACCTGGGAGAAAGATGAAACTGTCTGCCCCTGTAAAAGTTTTCAGTCTTGGAAACCCTAAGGAGGAGTTCTACTAACCTATAGGGTCACTATGAATTAGAATCAGCTCAATGGCAGTGGCATTGGGAATATAGAGTCTTAATTACTATTTAAATATTTAAGGATTTAATCATCTTAATATGTTCTTAGTATATACTGATTACTTAATATCATGTCTCAAAATAATTTAAAAATTCATCTTGTTGTTGTT